GCTTATGTTGGCCATATCATAGCTTGTATTTGGGGTTGTTTTGCTATGGCATACCATTATTTTTACTTGATTTTGTCACCTCATGCATGCCTAATACACTTGTAGTGTAAATCGCATAAACTAGTCTTGTATGCTTCATGAAGTAGCATGTCATTCTAGCTTGTTTCGAGTCCATTTCAGCATGTTTTTGGTGATGTTTTACCAAGTCATACCTCTGTTAGGGTTTGGTTTGGTCACCCCTTGCATGCTCCTTGCACTTGTAGTGCAATTCCTTGAATTAGCCTAACATGCATCATGCCTTAACATGTCATTCCAACATGGTTTTGGCTTAACTCTAAGAAGGTTTTGTCCATGTTTTAACATGCTTTAGCTCTGATTTGTATTGTTTTGGCCATGCATGACTTGCTTTGTATGGCCATGGTTCAATCTAGGTTGTTAGCTTTGTGTGTCAAGTCCACTAGCATGCATTACTTGGACTATTTAAATGATTCGACATCATTTGTAATGTGATTTCAGTCCATGTTTCATGTTCATGCACTTGCATCTTTCACTTATTCAATGCATTGGAGGGTTTCCCCCTTTATGCCTTAACATGAATCATTGCGTATGCCATCATGCCTAAGCTTGTGAGCTATCATTTCAGTGTTTATTTAGGATTATTTTGCCATGATATAACTCTGATTTTCGCTGGTTAAGTCATCTCATGCATGGTCTTAGTAGGTGTAGTGTAATCCACCTTATTTGCCTTGCATATCCCATGCTTTATGCCTTCATGCTAGCTTGTTTTGGCTTCCTTCCATACATGTTTTAGTATCATTTCGACATATTCTAGGACTGTTTTGCGTTGCCTTTGTCACATGCTTCATGTTTTGTATAGTTGTAGTACAAATGCCTATGCTAGCTTCAAGCTTTGGGTGCCATAGCATGCTTCATTTGTGTTGTTTAGATGATTTGACATCATTTAACATGACATTTCAGAGCATGTAGCATTGCCATGTCCCCACTTCATTCACCCATTGAGTGCCTCTAAGGGTTGTGCATTTGTTGCCTTTTTTTGGCCTAGCATGTATGCCATCTTGCCTAGGTCCTTAAGCTCCCATCTCAACATGTTTTGGTCTTTGTTTAGACCTATTTCAGCTTTGTCCATGTTTGGTTCAATCATTTGTCCCATGTATTGCATGCCCTTTGTGTAGTTCCTTTAATGGCTTTGTGCCTTAGGCCCTCTTGTATGCTTTACTTGTGTTGTTTGAATGATTTGGCATCATTTCACACTTAATTTCAGAGCCTTTAGTGTCGTTACACTTCCATGTTCATTGGTTCTTCATCATGTTTAAAAGTTGTGCTCTTAGGCCTACTTGATAGGCCAATGCATGTATATGCATGCCTTGCCCTTTTGTGCCTTTGTTTTGGTGTCATGGCCACTAATTTGGGCATGATTGAGGTTTGTTCATTTTGGTTTGAGTCCATCGAGCATTATGTATGCCATGTTGCATTGCGTTGAGTATGCCATGTTACCTTGCATTGTGAATGCCATGTTGTTATTTGCATTGTGTATGCTATTTTATTGCTTTGCATTGAGTGTGCATGCCATTGGCATTGAGTATGCTATGTTACATTGCATTGCATGTTTGCATGCTTGTCCCTTGCATATTGTTCGCATACTTGTTTCATTGTATTGCATGTTTGCATGCTTAAGTTGCATTGCATGATTTGCTTGCTTGAGTCGCATTGTGTATGCCTTGCTTATGTTGCATTTTGTTTGGAATAAGTGCTAGTCCAAACACGAGAAACGAGGGACGTTTCATACTTGAAGTGATGAAACGTGCCTCAATTCTCGGTCGCCGACGCTCTTGATCATACATGATAGAGCTCTAGGCATTTATGTGTTTATTTGTGCATTCATTTTATATTGAATTGTGCAACTTCGCCTCTCGGCCATCATGCATCAAGATGCATGATTGGTAGCCCGAGGGTCGAGAACTACACTCCCTTGAGCTCATGAAATGATAGGGAGGGTGGTTGTGCACACATCTTGCAAATATATTGCCATGCCCTTTCTTGCTCTCTGTTGTAGCAAATTGGAGAAATGCAGCAACAACTGGTCGACCAGCCAGAAAAACTAGCTGGCCGACCACTTTTTCTGGTTTGCAACAACAAAAAGTGGTCGGCAGGTGGTCTCCCACATCAACAACTGGTCGGCCACCTTCCCACAAGTCCCCAAGGTGAGTTGGAAGCTTTCTAGAGCTTGGTGCAAGTTTCTGAGAGCAGTTGCAAATAGAGGCAAATTGGGGCATCGCGACAGATTTCCGAACGAGGCAACCGGGCATGCATACTCTTCTCCTTCTGAGAACATTGCTTTACTGTTTTCCTCAGCTAGTTTACGCTTTGGTTTGTACTTAATCGATTCGTGTTGTAATAATTAGTTGTAGCTAGTTATTCAATTTTGTTTTGTAATAATTAGTTTAATTAGATTAGATTAGTTAGTTAGCTCTTTATTCGGATCCTCTATTGAGAGGGCCAACTGTTGTAATAAGCGTGCGTGTGTGTGATGCATGTCTTCCAACCCCCATTTCTTTCTCCCTTTTGCTTAACCGCTTACGATGGTTAGTTTTAGGGCATATTTCGATTAGCATACCTTATGCTTGCATGTGTGCATCCATTCATTTGTAATGCATGCACCGCGCTCGACGCATCATACTAACTGCATTGTATTTCAATTCCAATTTGAATACATGTACCAAGTTGCATTTCACCAAGTTGCATTTCACATGACATGATTAGAATAGTCGAGCCTATTTTAATTGTATTTTTGCATGTGTTGCATTAGCCATCTTAACATGAACTAGGATCATGCATGATTTCTAACTAGTTCTTTGTTTTGGCGCGGAGTACATTGTGAGTATTTATGCTTTAGCATACTGCATGTGTATTAATGTTTCCATGAAAGCATGCTTGCCATGAGGCTAACTGCTTTTTTGATATAACTGCCTGAATGCCTGTGGGTGAAGGTTGGATTACTTGAATTGGAACAATTCATTAAATCCCCGATTTAGCCTACTTGCGAGTAGCAAACTCCAAATCATTTTCACAAATGAACATGCAATGTTTTTTTCCAAATTAGGCGATCTAGTCTATACTTGTGTGTTGTGCGCATCACGTAGTAAGATTAGCTAATTAACCGGAATAAGAGCACATGTGTTTTCAAAAACAAAATATCATGCTTAGTACAGGTCGATCTTTGATCGAGCGAGCCGGGGTGCTCATTGCATGACCTTCCCCTCTCGTACCCAAGTTCCCAAGCCGAGGTAACTTTGGTGATGACGGACAGGTGGCCTTAGGCACGAGTCAGGGTTTTCTAAATTCTCCCAAAATAAAATATTTAGGTGGCGACTCTGTGTCTGGCAAAGCAGTCCATGTTTGTCACTTCTTTATAAAAATCAGTTTTCCAAAACGATTTGCCGGATTTGGACTCTTTGGTGATTTATCGGTCTCATATTGCACTTTGTGAGATTAGATTCAGAACCGTGACGTTGAGTCCGAACTGTAGTAGCTAGAGAACATGACGGAATTCGCGCCATCTCGCGCGGAGCCCGGGGAGTTCTCAGGCCGCGTCTACAATTTCTACAACATCTCTGCTCCTGAACATCTTCTTGTTCACTGGGTCCCACAACTTGTAGCCAAATGCTGTATCTGAACAGCCCACAAATATGCATGGCCTGGACTTTTCATCAAGCTTCTGTCTATTTTCCTTGGAGATGTGTGCAAACACCTTACACCCGAAGACTCTCAAGTGAGACTATGATACATTTCTTTTGGACTAGACTTCCTCAAGTATCACAAAATTCAACGGGATTGAAAGCGACTTGTTGATAAGATAACAGGCTGTACGGGCACCTTCAGCCCAGAATGACTTTGGCAACTTTGCCATACTGAGCATGTATTTGACTCTTTCCATAATAGTGCGGTTCATCCTCTCTGCCACACCATTGTGTTGTGAGGTGCTGGGAACTATTGTCTCATGTCGAATACCTCTGCTGGCACAATATGCTGCAAAAGCATTGGAAGTGTACTCGCCTCCATTATTTGTGCGAAGACACTTCAACTTCTTCCCGGTCTCTCTTTCTACTGTTGCATGGAACTCCAGAAAGTGCTGAAATACCTCATGCTTTGTCTTTAGGAAATACACCCACAACTTCCTTGATGCATCATCAATGAAAGTCAGAAAATACTTGCGGCCGCCAAGTGACTCCACTTCGATTGGGCCACAAACATCCAAGTATACCATTCTGAGAACTTCTGTTTTCCTCTTGCTCATTGAACTGAATGATACTTGATGTTGCTTGCCATAAAGGCAATGATCACACGGCTTTAAGGCACTCCCTTTGGATAGGGGTATCCTGGATTGCTTTGCCAACAGATGCAATCCCTTCTCACTCATGTGAGCCAGTCTTCTGTGCCATAAGTCCGGTGACTCCTTGTCTTTTGTCGCATTACGACTTTCCAGACAAATCTTCGTTGGAGTCTTATACAATGTTGAAGACATCTCTCCTCTAGCGATTGCCAAAGCTTCTCCTGTCAGCTTCCAACGGCCATTTCCGAATGTACTTGTATAGCCTTGTCGGTCCAGGGTGCTTCCGGAGATAAGATTGAGGTGCAAATTTGGAACATGCCTCACATCTTTAAGAACCAGCTTGTTCCCGACATTAGTTTGAATGCCAATGTCTCCAACGCCCACAATCTTCGAATAGCTAGAATTCCCCATTCGAATAGTGCTAAAACCTCCAGCATTGTACAAGCTGAAAAGTACTTTGTGGGAAGTGGCGTGATAGGATGCAGCTGTGTCTATCACCCATTCTGCGTAGCTGTGGCAGCCATGTGAAGGCAGTCCTCCTCTTCACCAACTGCAAGAAGTATTTCATTAGTTGTTATGGTTGTTGTGTTCTCATCTCCCTTTGACTTACTACTTTGGCCTTTATCTTTCTAGCTTGGGCAGTTCCTCTTTATATGACCCTCATGGCCACAGTGAAAGCAAGTGAAGCTAGAGTTACCTCGACCTTTGTTGTCTCTAGATTTACTCCTGTTGTTCCAGCTGCTTCTACTCTTGCTTCTTCCTCTGCCTCTTCCTTTACCTCTGTCTCTGCTTCTGCCTCTATTTTCTGTGACAAGAGCATGGGACTGATTACCTCCCATGTCTTTTCTTTTTGTCTTTTCATTGTACATGGTGTTTGTGACCATGCTCATGGTCAGCTTCCTTTCTGGTATAGATTTACTGTGAGAAACCACCAACGTCTCCCAGCTGTCTAGTAAAGAACTGAGCTGTAATACGGCTTGCATTTCATTGCCCAAGCGCATCTTTATGGTTGCAAGCTGATTCACCAGATTTTTGAATTCATTGGTGTGCTCGCTGACAGACACACCATTCTTCAACTTCAGATTTACAAGCCTTCTCATCACCAAGGCTTTGTTCCAAGCAGTCTTTGACTAGTACACGTCATCTAACATTGTCCATAGAGCATAGGCATCTGTCTCCTAGGTGACATGATGGTACACACCATGGTCTATCCATTGTCTGATACAACTGATAGTCTTGCGGTTAATCTTTATCCAGCCATCATCCTTTACTTCTTCCGATTTAACCCCTTTTAGAAAAATAGGGTCAAACAGGTCCTTATAATATAGGATGTCTTCCATCTGTGACTTCCAAATTGCATAATTGTAAGGAGTTAACTTGACCATGGATCCTGAAGTTGATGTGGATTCCTCCTTCGTCTTCTTTCTTTTTTATAGAAACTCTTATTCAATAATTTGACCGTACGGATGTGTTCGAAATACTCCAAATAGTTGGAAACCACCATTGGATCACCAAAATCGGACTCAGAATGGCTCAAATCAAGCCAAAACAATTTGAACAGTTCAGATTGGTAAAATCTGGTGTGGCTGAGAAGCACTGGATAATTTCTCCGGTTCGACTAACGCCAGCGGCTCGGTCAACACAACTTGGTTAGTGGCACAGCTCTAGCTTGGCAGTTCGGCTTCGACGCGGTCAGCGGCTCAGTCAACGGTAGCTCGGCTTGTGGCGCGATTAATGGCTTAGCACGGTCAACAACGCAGTGACATCACACTGATGTCAGCACCATGCGCCTTCCTACTCGTCTTCTTCCTTCAGCCGGTGCGTGGGGCGCGTGCCTAAGACTAGGCCTAATGCGCTTTCTTCAGATGGCATGTAAGGGTGCATGTCGAGTCCTCTTGAGCTCTGTTTTGCAATTCGGAACTCCTCTCGACGAGAGCTTCCTCATGGTATGCTCAAAAGTGAATTTTCAGCAACTTGATTTCTGGCAGTTTCAAAAAAATAGCACTCTATTTTTCCGAAACGCGATCAACTCAGCTCTGATACCACTTGTTAGGACCATGAGACGCCATAAATCAATCACATACAGATATTTGTGTGGTTGGGCAATTTCCTATATCCACGGAGAGCGATATCACTATAGAATTATCCCGGAGGGAGATTATAGAACTCACACCTCTCTTCTCACTATAGCTTGGTTTGCTTACACTCTCTGTCTAACTCTTCTCTTAGCCTCTCCATTTAAACACTGAAGAGAAAGATGGAAAGCTCAGCTAGCCTTGCACATGGCCAACTGTTCCTTTACTTTTGGTGGCCGTCCACCTTTCAAGCTGGCACAACACATGGCCAGCTTGACTTCACATAGGAGATCAATCTTAGGCTGGAGCTAATACTCTCAGTTTGAATATGTGTGAGTGGCAATCTCTTTCTAAGTGACCGAAAATCTCTCAAGACAACTCTTCTTGCTTAAATAGAAATAATCCTCAAAATATAGAGCTTCCTCCTTGTCAAGAGAGGCAAAGTTCCTAGATAAACTTGGGGAGAGAAGGGTGTTGGATTTTGACAATGAGATCAATTGAGTAATTTTTTTCACATTACATTTCATTCAATTGAAAGCCTATTGTTAATTGTAGCTTTTATGATTGATGATAAAGAGAAAGGAAGGAAGTTGAGTATGATAACAATTGGTGACCAAATGATAGCCTACAGTTTGAAGACAAAACAGCCTCGTTACATTCTTTTTCTTTTGTTTTCTTTCTTTTTTTATTTTTTTTATTTTTTTTTTTCAGTTCATTATTTCAATTTTTTTCCCTCTCTAGGCCACTTCTTCTTAAGTATGGCCTTGACAAATAAGTTAGATTAGATCAACTATTTAACACTTAAGTACTGGCTTTATTGCAATGGAAGGACTAGGTTTATTTCAGTCATGGGAATGACACAGTTTCTTAAATCATCTTTGTAGATAGCAGAATTTTGATTGCTCTCTTTAATTTGTCATTTTTGGATGGAAAGTCCTGTTATATGTATGCAGAAGAAGTTGTTGGACCAACGAAGGTTGGCATGAGTTGAAGGAGTTCTAGTCGCTTAAGCAAGTGGTCTCGGGTTCGAGTCCTTGTCGATGAAGCAAACTTTCTTGGGAGAGGTCCCTGCCTTGGCGCCTGACCGTACCTCAGAGGATTAGTCCTAGGTGAAGCCTAGGGATACCTTGGGAAACCCAAAAAAAATAAGTTATTGGAATCCTCATTGTCAATCGTGGTCTACTTTTGTTTTTCTTTGTATATTTATATTCATTTGTTTGTATGGACTTTTCTATGCTTGATATTTTGTTGTTCAATCATATAGCCTGATTACCTTGTCTGGAACCAAAACAACAGAAGCATCCAATATCATGAGCTAGGATTTTATCCTGCATGCAAGCCAACCAAGAAAGGTACTCCATAGGAGTGAATGAACCTTCTTTGTTTTCATCTGTCCCATACATTCTGCAATTTTCAGATTTTCATTTGTAACTTATTTTCATTTTTGGTCTAATTTTTCCCCTATGAGTTCTAACAAAGACTGAGCAAAGGAATGAATTAAGGAGCTACGGAGCTAATTACTATGGTTGCCTAAATCCTTGATTTCTATTTCCAAGTACGCCCTTCAATCTAACAATTACATACTTATTCCCAAATTTCTTTCTTCATTCACCAAAAGTTTCATTCTAGGGCCTCATGTCATTTCCTTCTCTCTTTCTTATATATCTCATCGTGTTTGTTCATATATATATATGGATTATTCATGGTTATTTCCAAATGTATGGATTTTGTTCATATTATTTTTTTAATCATTCTATTGGGCATATTTTCTTGGAAGTTAAAATAAATTATAGGCAGACTATTTAGTATTGAAAAGATTCAGACTCCTAAAAAAGTTGTTCTAATTTAATCATAGTGAAATGATAGATTATCTCACAATTTTTCAATTTGTTACAATTCAACCATCCCCACTTTTGTGGTTGATCCTCTCCTTTTTGAGACTCCTTTTTGTGTTATTTCCCAATTTACAGAATGTATAAAATGAACACTAGAAGATGGTAAATTTTGACCCTGGGTGGGAAATTTGCATATGACATGTGAGGATTATGGTTGAAAAATTCATATCTAATTCTTGAAGAACTATGTTTTCCCCTTTATTCTTTTCTTATTTTTTAATGTTATTTTTGATATGTCGACAGAAGGAATAATATAATTGTGTCCAAAATTTTGTTGTTGTAATGAAAATTTTTGTTATTTTTATTTGTTTGTTGATGCACGAAAAAAAAAATTCTATGTTGTAATTATTTTATAATTATCCCACTGAATTACAATTTTCACAATTATTAATTGCTCTAATTTTAAATTCCCACGTAATGGAAAGCCCAAACCACAGTCAAAGCCCCTCAAAAAAAAAATTCAACTAGTTACCAAACAATAGAAAAAAGAGATTGATGTTTAATTATTAATTGGACAAATCTATATTGTAGTTAATAAATTATTTATTGAAAATGATATGAAAGATAAATTTGATTATATAAAGCCTACTTAGTAATTTTGTTGTAAAAATGTAAGAAAAGTAATTTTTAAGTGATATTTTGTTGTAATTAGATTAATTTGGATTGATTTATGGCTTTACTTTTTGTTTGGTATTTTTTCCCCTTGTTGTATATTGAGTCTTGCTAAGACATGAAATAACAAAATCAAATTATTTTATTTTATTTTTATCTTTTTGAGTTCTTATAATGATTTGCCAAGATCTTAATCTATGTAAGCAAATTTTTGTAATCATATTCAAACAATCTCTGTGTGGGTACTAATAAATAAATAATTTTGGGTAATTCCTATTACATTGACAGACTATCTCTCTCTCTATATGTATATATATATATATATTGTAGTATAAATATGTATAAAGCCCCAACTTGAGAGTTGGCTTAGCACCCCTAATTGTTCAAAGCAAGTCCACTATGAATAACCCTTTTTTTTTTTTTTTTGATGACATTGCAGTCAAGAAGATTAAAATTTGCAAAGCTAAAAGGGTTGGATTGTGCATCACCCCAAGCATAAACAATAGCACTTGAGTCTTAATAAAAGTTTTGCAAAGCACATGCAATTATATATATATATAGAAGGATAAGAAATGCTCAGTTTTACATTATTAATCCATGCCAAAATGAAGTTTTAAAAGTACCAAATTTGTGTTCTCCTTCTAGGAACCTGCAGGGCCCCCATATAGTACCACATGCCCAAAGTAAGTCCCCCTGTTTCCTTCATCTTTCACATCATACAGTTTTCTATTGCTTGTAAACTCGTATGTTTGAGGATTTATATCCCCTCCACTTGGACTCTTAAGTGCAATACTCCTAAAGTATGCATCATAGCTGGTGCTCTCAATTAGAAAGTGACCTCCCCCCATTGCTGGTTTAGGGGTGCCCGGTGGACTAAATACCTCTCCTCCCCATTCAGCATGTGAAGCTAAGTTTGCTAATCTGCCGTCAAGTATTCTCTTTGGCCAAAATCCAACATTGGTATTCGCAACTCCAAGCCACCAATTTCCATTAGCTAGGTCCTATATATTTTTACATGGATATCAAAACTGAATAATTAAACAGAAGAACGCAAATTCTATTTCTTTACCACTAATTACTTAATTATGATTTTTGTTTCATAATTATTGGTGTAATAATTATTTCACACGATGGTAGCATGACTTGGGAACTTGTGGTCGGCCAATATAGTGGTCTAGGTGTGGACTTCATGTATATTAAGAGTTTTCAAATTTTACCTGCAAGATGTAGATTTCCACCTCAACCGGTATCCCTCCACGTATGGAGACCTTTCCAATTACTGAACCAAGAGGTATATCTGTGTTCACAATCACAAATCCAGGACAATTTGTATTGAAACAATGAGCTTGACCTGCCTGTTTGGTAGACAAACACATAAGAATATATTGTAAGAGCTACTAAGAAATATAGTCAATTAAGTAATATGCACTCAAAAGCAGTGATACTTGCATTCGTATATATGAATAGTCGAGTACGTGCGTCACCAAACAGAGATGGGTCCACCTGAGACAAACCAAAAACATAATAAAAACAAATGCTTTTGTCTATGTGAAGCTAGTTTTTACTTCTGAAAATTGTTTGTAAAAGAAGTAAGAAGTTAAATTTACAACAAGCAAGAGGATCAACTTACCCTCCACCCGACTTGTAAGCTATCAGGCCCATTTTGAATCATCATTCGCCCTGCACTATATTGTTTACCCACGACATCTGGTTGGTGTACACTAAGCACCGCTGACGCTCCACTGTATTTGTTTGGACCAACTATTGTCTCAACTATGGCATACTGGGTGATAAAAGTCCAAAATATATATGTTACTTTTATATTTTCCCTTTAACCTTTTCCACTGTGAGAATCTGTACATATCCATATTGTTGGGAGAAAACCAAAAGCCAATTCGAAATACTTGAATCTAGCACAAAATAGCAAAAGTAATTTTTCTCCCTCTTTGTGTGAATCTATTAGGAAACAATTTGAATAGAGCACAATATATATATAATCTGAAAATAATAAATCTTAAAATCACACAAGGCAAGAGCAATTTGCCAATCAAAAAAAAAAAGAAAAAAAAAAGGCAAGAGCAATTTTTAATTGGAAAACCTTCCCACTGTGAGAAGAAAAAACCACCGGACCGTAGTCCACCAAATATCTCCACTATCAAAAAATAATGGGTGTACAAGAGTTCTCTCCAGTTAGAACTAGAGGCAAACAATCAAGAACAACTATAAATAAGTTTCTTGGCAACCAAAGAACTAGTTACAAAGTTTAGGAAAGATCTCATAAAAACAGGGTACTGTTTACGAGCTAGAAAACCAAATTCATAATGCTCCAAATTTGATCTCCACCGTTCAGATCTTAGAGCCTTGAGTGTGAACTCGCCTACCAAATTTCAAGTCAATTGGACCACGAATGCTTGTCGATCGAACTGTTTGGTCAAAGTTGGATAGAGTTTATGAAAAAACTGCTTGGCTCCCTTTTCTCTTTGTTTGGTGGCTGCACTCTACTCTCTCTCTCTCTCTCTAGGGTAGTAGAAAGGGTTTTTGTCTCATCACACATGGGCCAAAAACCAAACAAAAAACATTATCCGTTTGGTTTAATTTTAGAATTATAATTTGAGTGTGAGTTTTGAGTTTTGAGTTTTTGAATCATAATTTGAAAAGAGAAAATTTGATTAGTTATGAGTTTTGAAAATAGTTTTGAAATAATTTGTAATATATACATATATATTTTTTGAGTGATTGATGTATAAAATGTGAGAGAATGTGAGAAGAAAGATGAGAGAGAAAAAGTGATTGATTGATTAATAATAATAATAATAATAATAATAATAATAATAATAATAATAATAATAATAATAATAAAAGAGCGGAGTTTTGAAAGTAATTTCAAGTTGTATTTAAAAAAAAATGCTTGGTTAACAAGTTGTATTCAAATCATGATTTAAAAACAGGGCTGAGTTTTGGCATAACCTCTCCATGTAGGCTTGAGACTCACATGGGCTTTACCGAATATTTAGGCCATCAGCCACATACGAGGGAAACCCAACCCAACACACGTATATATATGTATGTGCTTGCTTTTTTTTGTTGATTCCCCCCCCCCCCCCCCTTCTTTTCATTCAAAAAACGCATTGTGCCCTAATTGTAAGATATAATGTTTAGTGTTTTTGGTTGTGCAGATTCAAGCCATGCAAACAATCACATCTACAAGTAAAATTATTATCAAAAGTTTGCCTAAAACTTTTAACAAGATGAGGCTAAACATAACTTCAAAAAATGAGGACTAAAATCAATTTATAGGATAAAAAAATGTGTTTAGAGTGTTTTATGTGTGTGTTGATAGCTCATTCAAGAAGGTGATTTATAGAAACAAATAAAACCAAATATAGAAAAAAGCAATTGTGCAAAACTAGTATTGTGAAGCTATATAATTTTGATTGACTAGGATAACTTACATCAGCACCACCGGTGTCATCTGCAGGAGTCATTATTTTTGAAGCAAGTTTCTCTCTAATGAGATCTTCTTTAGTAGTTCTTCTAATTGGAACTGTTCCAACCGGGCAATCTCCGCCCTTTAGTCCTATATGTAGAGGTTTGCTATCTTTTGAGGAAACTTGATCTCTTGATCTATTGGGTAATGAAGTGGGCTTCATCTGCAATTCAACTCAATTTGAAAAAGGTAAAGGAGACTTGCACATAAATTGATCACATAATGGATTACAGAAAATTCACAAGAGTTGGATTCTACTGTTGGGTTCGTGCATGTCTTGTTTTCTGTGAGCCCCATAAAGTTATTAGTGTTGGGTGTGTATCAAATTTTGTAAGATCCATACTGTATTTTGGGTTAGGTTGTGAAATCAAGAGTTCACTAGTAATTCAATGTGTAGGGTTTTATTAATTGTATGGGACTAACATTTCTATGGTTTGCCTATAAATATGAATCTTCTCTACACTCTCCTCTCTTTTATTGATGCTTATTTTTATTGATGCTTGTCCCAAAATTATATTTTATCTATTGGATTTGATCAATACAATTACTCCCTTTCCCTTTGCCAATAAAAAGAAGTATTGTAGAGGTGTGAGATTGAAAGGGTTTGTAAAGATGCAGGGGATATGAAAAAATTTCGGGGGCAATGATAGTGAGTAAGTAAGCATGTGTAGCTTCTGGAATCAGTTAATCTTAAGTAGGGAAATGGGCAGGGTTTCAAGACTTCGATATTGGTGTCAGATTTTAAAGGTTTTTGGTTTCATTATTGTACTCGCTATGATTCGTAGTATATTTCTCTTTTGTATGCAAATCTTTGTGATTTTTCCTCTTTAGTGTGTGCATATGGATCTGCTTCCATTCAAATTTAGGATGTGCAAGAATCCCAGAACCTATTGTGCGAACTACAGTGCTCTGTGATTTATTTTGTGCTCATAGAGTGTTGAATAAATAATTAAGTAGCCTTCAATTATGTGTTGGAGATAAGAGGATGTATGGAGACAAACCTGAAAATGAAAAGTGTGGTTCTTCAGTAAAGGATGATCAAATGCAGGCTGTTTGTAGAAATCCACGCAATCATATATATCTCCATAATTATTCTGTAAATGTTACAATCTTTTTGTTAATTTTTATATACAATTGTTCAATTCATGAAAGGTTGTTCACAAGTTTGTGCAAAAATAATAATATTCTCTATTCTCAAGTTCAGAACGTCAAATTAGATGGTTGCAATTCAAGACATCCATGATATTAGGCCTAAGATGCCTATTAATCTCTACCATTTGATTTTCATAGAAAATTTAACTAGATAATATTGGAATTGAATGTCCTCGAAACTAGTCCCAGGACAACCTAGGAAACCGGCTCAACTTAAATTTTTATTTATTATATTTGAGACAATAGTTTGTTGATAGATACGTGTCAACAACTTTATATTCCGATTTAAAATTGAAGAGATAGATTTTTTTAACCCAATAAATAACTTTTTCATTTAAAAAATTAGTTTAATATTTTATTGTTAATTTGGTAAAAATATAATTCATTCCACACTAGAGACAAAAGGATCCCATGCCGTACATAGAGATTGTGTTTGTTTGGGATTGTCCCTATATATCCTTTATATGGTGATTATTAAGTTCCATAAGGGGTAGATACAAAATAAGACATTAAGTATGGGATATGACTGATTATTGATCTCTATAAGGTGATGAGATGCCAAATGAGAGATTAAGAAGGGTCTGCATTAGTAAAAACACCAAAATATTCTCCCATTATGGTCATTACATTACGTATGTATGTCTAGTGTGATATGGGATATCATAAGATTTGACCAATTTCCCAATCCAGGAACATTTCAAACTGGGATACGATATGCAATTGATAATATCAACATCAATTATGGCAAGTCTATTAATCAAAGTCTATTAATCAAATATAATTTACTCCCATGAAACAAACATAGCAAAATTGAATTAACACTGTGTTTGGATTTTAAATTTGTACATGGATTTGGAAAGGGAAATAGAAAACGTGAGTGAAAAGTGAATCAAATATAATTATACTGTACCTAACTATTCCATTTCTCTATCTAAATTAGTGATCCAAACGCAGTCTAAATGTTTCTAATAATAGTGCACAGAGAAATAATACAATAGCATGTAAGTCCATGGGATGATCTGGAAAATAATAAAAAAACAAAGTAGTTAGTGATCAAAAATCACAAAAATCATCTATAATTATTTAAGGCAATTAATGAAATTACAATCGTAATACATCTATACATATAAGGTTCACATATTTTATTTTGGACAAAATATATTTGTAGTCCTTGCAGTATGCGTTTATTGTCATTTTGGTTCTTCAAGTTTTAATTTTGTCAATTTGATCATTGAAATGTCAATTTGAGTCAATTTGTTCCAATTCTAAGCGTACAGTCTAAATAGTTAACGGAATCGTAATAAAATACACACAAGTTCTTTAAAAGTATGTTTTTTTTGTCACTCATCACTTTGGTTCTTGAAGTTTTTAATTTTGTCAATTTGGTCATAAAACATTAATGAAGAAAATAAAACATAACAATACAATATTAAAGTACGAAATTGATAAAATTGATAATTGAGAGACCAATATGATACAAAATATATATTTTTAGGACCATAGTAAAATTTATAATTATTTTAACGATTTAAACATCCATTTTGAAATTATATTAATTTGACTAAAATTGACAATTTTGAAGCAAAATTTTGATTTGCTAAAATCAGTTATTAATTGTTAGATTGGCACCTTTAGAAGTTAGTCTTTCCACCCTTTGTAAATTCAACTCTCCTTAAGAAGAGTTGAATAACCTCCCCAAGGGACTAAGTTCTTAAAAAAGTTGTGGTGGTTAATTAGGTTAGGCCTAGTTGATTGACAAAATTAAAAATTAAGGGACCAAAATGGCAATGAATCTATATTTTACAAACTAAAATTGTAGTTTATCCTTTATTTTATTTTATTTTTATATGTAATGTGGAAAAAAGCGAACGACACCTATGTTTGGCATTAAATTAGAATTGTATCGGAAAACTTTGAACAATGAATATCCTTGTACCTGAGACATACACTAGCCCTATTATCATTGCAATTGAAGGAGAATATTTAAAATTCGTTAAATTAAATAAGGATATTTGATCTAATAGTTGTATAGACGTCATTGGTTCAATTTCGATAGAGAAGTTGGGCTTGATAGATTGGTTGTAAATATCTCTCTTATATATTGACCCAAAAAAAAAAAAAAAAACTTAAAATTATAATAATTAAATTTATTTCTGATGAAGTAATTTATTTAGGAATTAATAAATTAAAAACTCAATCTCTTGCATTACTCCAATTTAATTTTAGTTGAAAACTGAAAATATCAATTTGACTGGATTGATGGCTAACCATTGGGTTTTTTTACCGAGAAAAATTATACCAATGAGGTGATAAATTTATCATATAGGAAAATTCATTTTAAATTGGATAGTCTTATCAAAGTAACATATTATTTTAAAATGTCATTATCATATTATTTTAATTAAATTATTTATGTAAAATTTGTTTTTGTAAATCGATTTCTTAAATTTAATTTAATAAGAGTGTGAGAGAGCATTATTATTTATTTATTTATGATAACTTGGTAACCACCAATCTCACCGTTTAGTAACAGATGGTCCAATTAAAGTATGGACTGACCCAAAAAATTGTTTGGTGCAAGAACATTTTGAACTTAAGAACATAGAGAGAGCACATCCCCATTTCTCCGGCCTTGACCACCAGGCCAACTCTTTAGGTAGTGTTTCATTCATTGGAATGATTAAAGTGGAATGAAATTATCATTTTATCAAAATATTCATTCATTTGTTTGATTAAATTAAAAAAATAATAGCAAATGCATTATAAATAGAATTACCTTTCACAATTTTAAATAAATAGTCATTCCATAAAAAAGTCTATGGAATTACAATTCATTTTAATCAACCAAAAATAGAGCATAATGGTTAGCAATATTCTATTATGAAGAGAGTAAAAAAGACATGTCAAACTGCTAAACCAAAGTAAACCAAATATCAATGAAAATGAACAGACAAATTAAACTGGAAATATTGAGTAAATTTACAAACGCACATACAAAAATCAAGCAATAATTTGTTTAAAGTAATGATTGCCCTATAAAAAAATGCAAGTGGGAATAATGTATATTATTTGTAAGTAATTGAAAGAAAATACAATAAAATTTTTAATTTTATTTTTTTAATTTTATTTTTTTGAGTTTAGTAAAAATGGATTTAAATATACTAATTTTGCAACTATTAAGCATGAATTAACACCATTTTCCGTTAACAAATTTGCTTGATTGAATGGCAAACATTTATTTAATTTCACTCTCTAATTTGGAATTCAGACTATAAAACATCTTTACATGTGAAGGAAGTTATAGAAATTTCTATTTAAAAATAACAAATTATTAACTACGAAAAAATATAATGCCATAAATCATAAACAAATACCTGAAAGACGGTAGACTTTTGTCACAAGAATGACTTTGAGACCTCAATACACATGGGAATGGGAATGGGAATGAGTGTGGTTCGAATATATATACTAGTAAAAGAAGCCAATGTCTAACAATGCCCATTATTATTATGGTTAATGCTAATAAATGTCTCTGGGGTATTTGATTAGATGTGGTTAAGAAAAATGCTAATAAATGTCTAGCAATGCCAATTATTATAGTGGTCATTTGTTTGGTAAAAAATTTGATATCTCTAGCATTATCTATGTGTTAAATAGGGAATTAAGGTGCCTATTGTGCATCAAGCATGCGGGCACTATTGTGCACGCTTTGAGGCTCACTTCGAGTCTTATATTGATAATCCGAACTATTTATTTTTTAAGGTATACCATGAAGAACATATCCATAAATAATCAAGTTGACCTAACAATAGTAACTCTTTCATCAAAACACATTTGTATCGATAAAAATGAATAGTAAGTGTTATTTTAAATACAATATTGAATATAAATATGTTTCGATTAAAGGGTTATCGTTATCCAATTAACTTATTTTTATAAGTATATTGTATACGATATACTCTAAAAAATAAATACTTTCAATCATTAAAATAAGAATCAGAGTGATCCTCACCGTGAGCACAATAGTGCCAGTAGTGCTTGACATACACAATAGGCACCCTAATTTTTATTTATTTTTTTGATCAGGACAATAGGCACCCTAATTCTATTAAATAGGATAGTATTAATTTTTCTTGATTTTAGTAACGGTCTAATTTTATTTTATTAAGACGTATTAAAGACTATATTAAATTTTCTTGAATTTAGTAATTTTCTATTTTTAATCTATTAATTAAGGGTAAATTACACTCCCTAGTCATGTGCTTATTAAATTATTATTTTTATTAAAGATTTATACAGTAGAGTAATAAAAGGAAGATATTGACAATTGACTAAAAGTGCATAATTTCGTGTGTAATGATCAAAGTGAGATTTAGTATAAAATACAGGGGTGCAAAGTGTAATTTATTCATTAATTAAATTAGATGCATGTAATAGTTTTGTATTTTTAACCTATTATTTAAAATTGAGCAAATTTCAGGAATCATGAAATAAAGCATTATTGGTTGTTGCTTATCACGTGCCCGAGAAGCACTTGGTAATTGTGAAATAATAATAATTTTTTAATAATTTTTTTTACTAAACAATTCATCTACAATGATTTGGCAAGGGAGTTAGACTTTATATTATTGGATTTGTAATAAATCAAAATTGACACATATGATACTACATCATTGCGAGTACATAAAATTTTATGTGAGTCTTAAACATTTTCTTTTACCAAAATAATCTATTCCCAACAGATCCATAATACACCATATCTGACGTTCAAATGCACCATCGAATGCAAGTTAAATGCATCCTTTAATCTTCATACTTTATGCCTGTTGAAAAACAAATATTGGTAACGTTGAAGGAAGTGAAAATGCATTTATATTGTTAAAAAGCAAATGCAAACCTAATTTGTTGAACTTATCAACTTGTTTTGTTGTTTCATGGGGTG